GGGAGATGGGCTGTCCGTGGGAGACCTCGCGATGGTCGCGCACGCGGCCCAGAGGAGCCTCGAGGCCCGCGGAGAAGCGTCTAGGGGCGAGCGGTTCCGGGGGGCAATGGGAAACATGCTGCTCTGGATGGAAAGGCAAAGTGGTCCATCATGGGCCCCCGTCTATTGAGCGCGCGCAACTGGGGAGTCGCTGGTGCTCGCGGACGCGCCCTACGCCCACGTTGAGAACTACATTGTCAAAGGTCTTAGAAATCAGCGCGTCCAGGAAGAAGCATGAAGCGCCACCTGAAAGAGATGAACCGCCCGACGGCCTGGAGATCCTGGAGGGAGGCCTGGATGGAGCCCCCCGAGACCTTCTGGACCAATCGCAAAACATCTCCCCCGCAGATCGCGGAACATATTTTTTGCCGCTCGTGTTTCAATTCCAAAAGGCTGCGTGGCTAATATAAGATCTCGCCTGTCTGTCCTTCTTGCCGATCGCCTGAGGGAGGCGCCTGGGGCGCCGCGTGCCACCGCTGCTTCGCGCGCCCCAGCCCGGCCGAGAGGGGCCCCGAGCACGTCGGCGCTGAGCTGGGGCCGCAGGCTCTGGAGGCAGGCGAGGATGCTGTTTCCTATAACTCCTTATTGGCGCCAGCTCCTGCTGATTTTGTTCCAGCAGCCTGGGGCGGAGAAGTTCGCCATGTTGGCAGGCTGGGTGAAATCCCAATGTTCACTTTCAGATAACCAGATATGTTGCATTCGGGCGGGAACTGCCACTCACCCACCCATGTTTTGGTATCCAGGGCAGGGTGGGCTGTTTGCCAGATTAATGGGGATGGAGATCTTGTTCGGGGCATGTTCGGGAACCTGCCTGGTGTTCTGCCCCAGAGTGTTGCATTTGCTGAGCACTTCGGCCTGCTTCAGGCCCTGCAGCACCTTGCTCTCGAGGATGAGGGGGGTCGGTCAGGGAGTTGTCAGTTGCACGTGGACTGCGCAGCCCTTCTTGCAGGACCAGCAGACCCAAGTTCTGCGACCAGCGGACGTTCGCCGTTGGCAAAGCTGTGGAACGCGATCTACGCCAGACAGCATCCTCCTTGGACCCTCAAGAAGGTGAAGGCCCATGTTGGAGACTCCGTATCAGGCAGGGCCCGCCTTCATAAGCACGAATGAAGGAACTAGACTACACCCAGAAAAGGCCCAGAACACTGAAGCACGAGCTGAGTTGCTCGCAGACCCTAGCACTTGGCATGGCCCAGATTTTGGAAGACCGCCCGAATGCTCAAGAGCTGTTTGGGAAGCTGGGGCGTCAGTTTCGGATCCCCAGACAGTTGGCCCTCCCCAGCGACCGGAAGCTTCATCATGTTCGTTGGAATGGGCACCGCTGGCGGCGTCTGGAGTGTGTCCGTTGTTTCCTCAACAAGATGCCCAAGGGGTCCTGTGCCGCCCTGTCCCGTGCCATGCGTGAATTGTTTTCGGCCGAGGTGGCCCCACCCAACAGCTTGCACGTTTGCGAAATCCTGTCTAGTGATTTCCCCGTCGATATGTGTATTAAATGTGGGGCGTGCTCGTCGGGGGCCCCCAGGAGGCTCCTAATGGGTTGTCCCAGAATCTTTGTGCAGCACCGTGGATCGTTCCTCAGAGGGGACCTACCTTGACCGAGGGCGCTGAAGGTATCCTCGCCCTGGCCCGTGAGACTCGCGCCTCATGAGGAGGCGGAGTGGTGGCACAGGCGTGTCTGGGGGCGACAGCGGCCCCGCCGCGCCTAAGGTACCTGGAAGGCGGGTTTTGGCCCGTGTGGCTCTTTCGTTCAGGTGTTGGTGGTGGGGCTGGGGGCGTTGTGTTTTTCTTCGTATTCAGCAGCCCCTTCGATCATGTATTGGTGGGGTCAAGAGTGAGCCACTGGACAAGGAGGAGAAGGCGGAGGAGGAGGAGGAGGAGGAGGAGGAGGAGGAAAGGAAGAAGAGGATTGAAAAGGGGCCTCGCTGAGCTGAGGGTCGCGCCGAGCTCTGGACAATCCGTCGGGGAGGGGGGGCTCGGCCTGCAGGACGGGGCGGACGTGCCACCTCGCCGTTTTGACAGAGGAGAGGCGCTGCGCGCAGAGGCGCAGCAAGCGCTCGGGGGGCGCGGCGCCCTCGGCGCGCCAGCGCGGGGCCGTGAGGATGGCGGAGCGCCTCGGGGGGGGGCGCGCAGCCGCGGGGGGGCGCGGCACCCCCCGGGCAGCACCGGGGCGCCGCTTCCTCGGCGTAAGCGCGCGGTTGCGGCGGACGCCGTGGCGACACGGAACCGCGCGCCGAAGGGGATTTCAGCGACAACGGCGACGACGACGACGAAGACGACGACGACGACGACGACGACGACGGCGGCGGCGACGGCGACGGCGAGGGCGACGACGACGACTTCGACGGAGACGACGACGACGACGACGACGACGACGACGACGACGACGACGACGACGACGACGACGACGACGCGCCGCCTGTGCGGCCTGCGCCCGCTGCAGCAGCGGGACCTGCCCGCGCGGGAGGGGGGACGATGCCGATACCTTCGTCGCCACGGCTGGAGTCGCCTCGACATGGTGGTCAGAGTGCACGCTTGGGAGGTGTCTGGGGGCTGTAGCGGCAGTGGACGTCGTCCCCCCCGAGCGCAGGCAGCGCACGGAGAGGCTCCCAATTCACGATGCCCTCGGTGAGGCAACCATCGGGGGAGGCCGTGCGCAGGCCCTTCCCATTGTGGTGGAGGCGGGCGTTCCCTCAGGGCTGGCGCGGTCCACCCCGCGCAATTGGGATGAGCAGCGCGCGGCGGGCACTCAGCATCGGCATCTCGTACATTGAATGGGTGCATCTTGCCACTGGCTGCTACAGGAAACTCAGGGCCGCACCGCCCGCGGCCGAGCCCGCAGCCACTGTCATGCCAGTTCCGGGTCGGGGCGGTCGTGCAGCGTGTAGCGGGCGTCGGTTGTGAGGCTTACGAGGTGACTCAGGGAGGCACCAGGCGACACAGATACGGCGACACGTCGCCGACTCAGTCCTCGGGAAAGATGGCTTTAGCCGCACGGGGCCGTTTGGGCGACAGAAGCGCCGAGCCGCCACCGCGAGCAGCGTGCAGCGCGCACCCGGAGAGCCGCACCGCCCGCGGCCGACCCACGGCAGCCGACGTCAATTCCAGGTCGGGCGGTCCCTGCGGCAGCGGCCCCGGCCGCGGGAGGCTCCGCGCGCGTGGCGGTCTCGCGCGGTGCGGGGCACCGGCAGCTGGCCAGCCGCCCCGCGGGGGTGGTCTCCGCGCGACTGGGCCGGCGTTTTTTGTCTCCGCGACCGCCACGGAGTCACGTGGGCCGGTGGTTCCTAGAAGGGGTCCTGAGGACGAGGTGCCTCAAGCAGTGTAAATCCACCCTTGGGCCTCTTCCTCTCCTTTGGACCCCATCCCTCAGGATTCCGTCTTCTGGCAGCGAGCGAGGGGGGGCCGTCTCAGAAGTCGGCTGGACTTCTCAGAAGCCCTCGCGCCTTCTGAGAACGTCCCTGTGTCTTCGGGGAAGGCTTAGAAAACCCCCCTCGCTCGCCGCCGAATCTTTGAACCACCAAGTGGAGAAGCGAGCCCCGCGCCTGAGGCGACGATCTGTGAGCCAGCCGGTCCCGCGCGGGCTCCAGATCTCCCGCGGAGGCCGCCACGGTAGCTGTGTTTCGCGCGTGGCGGACTCGGCCAGAGCGGAGTTCTGCGGATCGCGCCCCCGACTTCTCGCGGCGGCGCGATCGCGCCCCTGCGCGACCGGCGGGGCGGGAGGCAATTAGGCGGCCCAGGAACTGGCGATGGCAGTTTGAAGCAGGCCGTGAGGTCTGCCACGGCGCGCCCGAGGCGCAAGGCCGAGGGCGGCGCATGTGCAGCAGGTGGCCGGGCGGTGTGGGGCGCAGACGCCGCGTGCTCTGCACGTCGGCATGAGGAGCCGGTGTGCCTCGGCGGACGTGGCGGCGAGAGACGAGGCGGGCCCTCTGCCGCGAGCACGGTACCTGTTTCGGCGTTGGGTCGGACGAGTGGCGATAGTGGATCACAGGTCGGAAGCTATTCCCAGCCTTTTCAGCACTTGGATTCGGTTAGGTCGTCTGCAGGATGTTAAATGATTCCAAACGTGGAACTTCAGATTGAGCACGAGAGCCTTCACGGTGATAGCGCTCTTTTGCAACAGGGCCCGGATCTAGTGTTTGTCATGTTCATGGAAAGTGACCATGAGTTCGAATCAGTAAGTCTTGTTATAGCTAGGTCAACAGATACATATACCGATTGATGTTGTGGTAGTGGGAGTGGAAGGCTCGATAGAGGGGCAATAAGGGAGATCGATGGACAGATAACGAGATCGTTTGACATATTGATCGCCTGCCTGATCCGACTCCAATCACAAACCGACAGTTGCACCTCTACCCTACCCACCCGCCCCGCCCGACCCCACCTCCACCCACCCCCACATCCCAACCTGCTTATCACCCAGAGGGCCGAATATGATGTATTTATCTGAATCTACCCACATACCTTCTATCCCTTCTCTTTGTCAGTCTGTCTGTCTGTCTGTCCGTCCGTCTGTCTGTATGTATGTATGTCTGTCTTTCTCTCTCGTCTTTCTCGTCTCGTCTCTCGCTCTCTCTCTTTCAGTTTCAGTCTCCCCACCCCCCTTCTTGCAGGATATAGTTGGCCATTATATGTCGACTCGCTTCCCATGGCCCTAGTTCTTAACTGGTATATGTGTAGACATTGTGTTCGTTATATCGTTGTGTTGCTTATACCTAAATGTGTGTAAATATATAAATATGCGTGTGTCTCACGCTCTCTATCTCTCTCTCTCTCTCTTTCTCTCTCTCTCTCTCTCTCTCCCCCCCTATCCCTCGCCGCGTTCCCTCGCCGTCGCCCACTATCCCCTGTCCGCCTCTTCCGCCCGACCTGCCCGTTTTCGGGCTGCTTCTGTTCCTCCGCCCGTCAGCGTTTCCAGGCGTCCTCTCGTCTGCCCTCCCGTCTTGCAGCCTTGCTGCCGGGGCCAGGCACGGCAAGAAGGGCCACGATGTCTCGAATTTCGTCAAGGAGAAGCCGCCGCGTGTGTACGTGTGTTCGTGTGTGCGCTGAGCCGGCCCATGTGGCCAGCGTTCCTATCGCCCCCCTGTGGGCTCCGACCCTGCTGCGCCGCCACGCGCGTGGCCAGACGCACAACATTGAGTTTTTGCGTGTGTGTGTGTGTATGTGCGTATGTGTATGTTTGTGTGCGTTTGTGTGCACGCGTGCGTGCGTGCGTGCGTGCGCGCGTGTGTGTGTGTGTGTGTGTGTTTGTGTGTGTGTGTGTTTCTGTGTGTTTCTGTGTGTTTGTGTGTATGTATGTGTGTGTGTGTGTGTTTGTGTGTCGCGCTTGAACCTGCCGCTCGCTCGGCTCGATCCGCCTCGTCGCTGCGCGCGAGGCCGTCACCGCCAAAATGAGTGAGTGTACAGAGTGTGAGTGAGTGTGTGTGTGTAGTCGTCTGGCCATGGCATCGCCGTGGTTTCCACTGCGCCACCCTTGCCCTCTCTGTCATGTCTTTTCCATGCCGGTCGGTTATCTGCCACATCGTCAGACCCCCCCGTCATCCATGCCCGGGTGATTTATGGCTGCCCGCAGCGCTGCTTGTTCTAAGCGGTTTGATGGTTCGGCCTTTCAACGCGCGCGCGGTCCCTCTTCTCTGACCTTGCTACGCCCTGTCGCTGCGCGCGGGGCCGCGACGCCAAACAAACAGTGTGTGTGTGTTGTGTGTCTGTGGGTGTGTCTGTCTATCTGTGCTCGGAGGACGGAGAAGAGGTGGGCTTTAGTGGAAGTATTTGGTCCGCGTGTCTGTTGGGCTGTGGGGCGAGCATGAAGAGTCCAGGGACAACCTCGTTGGCTAGCAGGCCCGTCGCTTCGAACGCACAGTTTGTGACTGCTCTCACAGATCAATCTCTTTGGCTCTAGGCATCGGGAGCGCACTGCACGGGGAATGCTCAAGAGCTGTCCTCTTGTCTTCCGTATTTGCCGAGCCCCCCTCCCCGTAATCCTTGATGATTTTCTTCGTATTCGTCCTCCTCGATGTTGAGGTCCAGCGTTTCGTTCAGGCCCTTTCGCTGCTATCTTGGCTCCAGGTCAGCCAGAGACGAGTGAATACTGAGTGGTGCTTCGGGAGAGGAGCGAGGATGCACGACGGTCAAGAAACCAGCCAGGCGGTCAATCAGTCACTCAATTGGCCGATCATCGAGTGCTTATTTTGTCCTACCGTGCCGCCCCTTGCGTCCTCCCAAGGGTGAGGGGGAGGAGGGGACCGACGATGAGGAGAGGGAGAAGGGGGAGGGCGAGGAGGGCAAGCTAGGTGCGCTCGCGTCATATCTGACGTCCTACCCCCCCCTCTCTTCCCTTACCATGACGTAAGTCTCCTCTCTATTCGCACAGTCGGATGTCGAGCAGGGCAATGATCGCGAGAGGGTGCGCGATGCATCGTAGAACACGGCATGGCATGGCGTAGAAGAGCATGGCAGAGCGTAGAACGTCATAGCATGGCGTGGCATTGCGTAGAAGTATTACATTACAACGCATTGCAATGCAAAGCATGCCATCGCACAGCGGCGCAGAACATTACACCGCACATCATGTCATGGCAGGGCACCGGGTTCCTTGGAGGGGAAGTGGATAGTCTTCGAAGGGTCGGGGCCGGTTTGGAGTCGCGGCTCCATGTTTAGCTCCCAGGGCTCCGCGACGAGCTCCCACAAGGCGGGGCTGATGGAGAGCACCCGCTGGCTCTTGCTTGCAACATCGCCTTCTGGAAGCAGAAACGGGGCTCGCGCTGGATAATTCCTCCAAACGCCGCCCCGAAATGGGGGGGAACCTTCTGCGGCCCAAAGACTCAACGAATCGGCACTGGATGTGCAGTCACTTGCGATGTTTGTTTTTCATGGGGGTAATTTTTAAGATTTGGGGCCTATCTGGAAGGACCGAAAACGCCCGCGCTGTAGCGGAAGCACGTTTTTGAACAACCAGAGGCGCAGTAGTGGGGCCAGTGTTGCAGCGGGAGCTAGATTGCCCCGAATCGGATTGCTAAAAACACATTTGAAAACCAGGAAATGAGGCCAGCTCTGCAGCAGGAGCACGATCCAGAACGAGCGGCAGCGCGGAAATGAGGTCAATGCTGCAGCGGGAGCACGATTCGGAACGAGCGGAAGGCCGAAAATGAGGCCAGCGCTCCAGCGGGAGCAATATTTTAAAACAGAACCAAGCGAACGTCCAGTTCCCAGGAATCTTCGCCCTGACATCATCATGTGGAGATGTTTGGGGACACCTTCAGCGTATTATGGGCGAGGAAGCAAGTGCAGATGGCATGCCAAGTCTGTCGCCAGTGGGGCACTGCTAGCGAGCGAGTCTTGGGTCATGGGGAAGTTGTTCACAATCAACGGTTGAGCGGACTCCTCTCCTTTGTTCGGTCCACGCTGACCGAGGAGCACTTGCCGAAGCTCATAGTAAAGGATAGCCGCTTCATGACGGACGAGATGCCGGCGATGCTCGTAGATGCGTACGCCGCGCCCTCCGCCGCCTCCTCGTCCTCCGTCTTCTTCTAATTACCCTTGTTCTTCTTCCTTCTCCTCCTCCTCCTCCTCCTCCTCCTCCTCCTCCTCCTCCTCTGACTCCTCCATCCCGACCATACGGCTTGCCCCGAAGGTTTCGGTTGAAAGGGCCGATCCGAGTGCACGACTTAGACCGCTAACTCAGACGTGCACCATAGGGCCAGCGCGCGAGGGGCTGCAGCCCAGCGCAGGCGCACGGGCCAAGCGGCGAGGCCGGGGGTGGAGCTCGGGGGGGCTCGGACTGGGGGCGGGGACGGAGAGGGAGGGGGACGGGGACGGGAACGGGACCGCTGGCGGGGACGCTTACAGGGACGGGGAGGAGTAGCGGCACCTCCAGCAGGAGGGGGGGGAGGAGGAGGAGGAGGAGGAGGAGGAGGAGGAGAGGAGGAGGAGGAGGAGGAGATGAGGAGGAGGAGTAGGAGGAGGAGGAGGAGGAGGAGGAGGAGGAGGAGGAGGAGGAGGAGGAGGAGGAGGAGAGGAGGAGGAGAGATGGGATGGTCAGAGCGGCGCAGTCTTGCGTCCGAGATTCGCCAATACACCCCCCCCCCCCCTCCGCGTCCTCCTCACACGTCCCTGTCCCCTTCAGCTGAGACGCAGATTCGCCTCTGTTGCCCGCACAACGGGCCAGCACGTCGCCATCGCAAGACGTATGCTGAGCACGGCGCAGTAGTCTCAGGGGGAAGAGGTACGAAATTAACGTGGATGAGGAAGAAGAAGGAATGGATCTAGAGAAGGAAGGTGAGGAGGAGTGAAGGGGGATGAGAGATGCAGGGGGATCAGGTAGGGATAGAGGGGAGCTGCGAAGGGATGGGATTTGGAGGGGAGGAGGAAGGGGCGGATTTGTTACCGATCTGCGCGCACGCATGAAAGGTGAGGCTATCGACTCTGCCTGTCCAAGGCGGCGTTGTATGCCTCGGCTTTGGCAGAGTGCCCTGGCCACTTGCCTCGAGCGAGGCCGTCCAAGTTAAGACCCCCCTGGCTTCCGCAGGATATTTCCCGAAGGTTTGGCAAACATTCGGATGCTGCCACTTGTGCTGATGCTGCCGCAAATCAGGCAAACCCAAGCCTGGACATGCGCGTGCAACTGCATGCGATGGTCGAGGTGTACTCCGCCGTCACTTTGCAGCTCAGCTTCGCAGGTCTGTATCCAGCCGCTGCAACGGGCCTGCAGGGTGATTGCAACCAAGCTCCAAGCTTGCAGCTGGTCTCTATCCCAGGCTGCATGCTTCTGCTTTCGCATGGCGCATTTCAGTCTCTTCAGGTCACGCGTGGTTCATCCCGCAGCATGGGGGAGTCCTTGCGCGGTTGGTTCAAGAGTCTGACGCCAAGTGTGGCCTTGGCAATATTTCGCTGGAACCGCATGAGGTTAGGTTGGCATAGGTCCCAAAGCAGCCGAGACTTTGGAGGCGACTGGAGGGCTTGACTCAGCATCGCCTCAACAAGATGCAACGGTAGGCAGCCATGTTCGCTCGGAGAGGGCTGCCAGCACGGGGATTCCTCTCGCCTGGGCCTGGGTCGAGGCCAGTCAAGATGAAAGCGGGGGAGGAAGTGAAGAGGGCTGGAGGGTGGCAGAAACAGGACGGGGACGGGAGCTTTTCCAAAAGGGGACAGGGACGGAAAGGGAAGGGAGAGTTGTATAGAAGATGGGGGAGTTCCCCCCCCCAGTTTCAAGAAGATGCAGTCTTTCATCGCGAGCGCCGACCGCATGAAGAAGCTCAGCGCCCAGGCTGGCCATCTATCTGTCTGGGCAGTTGTTGTCCCCCATCATTCCGCCACCCTTCTTCCTTCCGCCCTCTCCCCCGATTCCCCATACATCTTCTCGCTTCCCTTCTTCCTCCTGCCTCCTCCACCCCCCCTCTTTCGTGTCCTGTCAATACACTTTCTTTCTCCTTATTCAGTTCCTTCATCCGTCTCCTCCTACCTCTGATCTGGTCATACCTCTAACTCCTATGTCCCGGCGATAACCCCCTGCACCCTACATCCTTTATCCAACCTCCTACGCCCTCATTACATCCACTGGCCTTCCTTCCATCCCGCCACCGTGCTTGTGTTATGGGTCACCGCGCAGTGGACATGGTTGCGAGCCATCCTCTCTTTTCTACCCTGAGCATGCCCCCCTTGCCCCCTTAATCTCTACCGCGTACCCTCTACTCTGTACTTTGTGCCATCCACGCTCTACTATCTGCCCTCTACCTGTTCTGCCTCCGATTGTCTCTCTATATGTCGCGGTGTGTCTCTCTCTCTCTCACTCTCTCTCTCCCTCTCTCCCTCCTTCGATCTCTCTCTCTCTCTCTCGATATTTTTCTCTCTCTCTCTCTCTCTCTCTCCCGCCTCACACTATTTCTATCAATGACGCCTACTGTGAATCACCGTCGTCGCATGCCTTTCAGGATACGTCAATGTGGCCAGACGTTCGGGCAAAGAGTGGTCAAGCTGGTGGACCATGTGCTCCCCCAGCCGTTGTGGAAGCCCTTCGGGGAACACGTGGTGGAGGAAGAGGAGGGTGAGGAGAGGGAGTGAAAAGGAAAATAAGCAGAAGGATGAGGAGACCCCTTGGGAGCTTCTTGGGTCATTCTTGGGGCCTCCTGGGAGCTTCCTGCGGCCTCTTCGAGGCCTATCGGGGGCCTCCTTGAGCCTCTTGAGGGGCTTTGGGGATTTCGTGGGGGCCTCTTTGGCTGTCTTCACGCGGTCCTTGTCCCTCCGACGCCGTGGGAAGCCGTATTGGGAGCATATCAGGGTCGTCTTTGGGCTCTCTTGAGGCGTTTAAGAGCCATCTTGAAGGCCATCTTGAGCGTTTTGGAGGCCTCTTCGGCCGTCTTGGGGCCCTTTTGAGGCCGGCGTGGGGGCCTCTTGGCCCGTCGTGGGGTCATCTTGAAGGCCTCTTGGGCGATCTGGGGGGCCTGTTGGGCCGTCTTGGATCGTCGGAAGGCCGTCTTGAGGCAAAGGCCAAAACCCACCAACAACCTCAGCCTCTTCGGACCTCTTGGATGCCTCTTCGTCTTAGGGGCCTCTTGGGCGCTTCTTGGGCAATCTTGGGCTCTCTTGGACCATCTTGGCGGTCTTGGAGGCATCTCGGAACCGTCTTGGAGGCTATATTGGAGCTATCTCGGACTCTCGTGGGGCCAGCCTGGCCGTTTGGGAGGCATCTTGGAGGCCACCGTGGACCATCTTGGCCGTCTTGGAGAATATCAAGGTCGTCTTGGACAGATCTGTTGGGAATAAGCGCGCTCTTCGGGTGGCCGGCGGGCTTGGCCGAATCGGAGTTCTTCAAACAAGAACAGAAATCTCCCAGGCATCTAGCACGCCGTGCACCCCTGAGGCACGCCAACAGGGGGCGGCGGATCGGACCATATGTTCCCCCCGCCGCTCCGAAAACTCTTCTGGGAACACTTGGGGGAGGATCATGAGAGGGAGGAGGAGGAGGAGGAGGAGGAAGAAGAGGAGGAGGGGGAGGAGGAGGAGGAGGAGGAGGAGGAGGAGGAGGAGGAGAGGGAGGAAAACACTCAGAGCCTCGTGGAGCACTCTTGGATCTTCCTGGGAGCTTCCTGAAGGCCTCTTGGAGACCTCTTTGGGACCTTCTCAGGCCTCTTGGGGGCCTTTGGGGGCTTCTTGGGGACCTCTTTGGCCGTCTTAGGGCGTTCCTGGCCCGTCTGACGCCATCGGAAGCAGTTTTGGGGACCTCTCCCGACCGATTTGGGGCCCTCTTGAGGCACGTTAGGGCATTCTTAGAGACCATGTGGGGCGTTTTGGAGGCCTCTTGGACCGTCTTGGGGCCCTCTTGGGGCCGTCTTAGGTGTCCCTAGGGCCGTCACATGGCCATCTTGAAGGCCTCTGGGTCGATCTTGGGGCGACTTTGGGGGCCTCTTGGGCCGTCTCGTGCCTTCGGAAGGCCGAAAAGTAGCGAATATCATCATCATTCGAGAACCAAGGGGCATCTATGAGTTTTGCCTCTCCAGGCCTTCCTGCATACCCTTTTGAGGCCTCTTGGGCCGTCTTGGATGGGCTATTGGGCCATCTCGAGGCCATCTTAGGCCGTCTGGGGTGTATATTGGGCCGTCTGGGGGGCATCTTTGGGCCAGCTTAGCCCTCTTGGAGGCCATCCTGGGCCATCTTGGCTGCCTGAGATTCGATTGTGCATGTTGCTCGGCGGATTGTGCGGCCTTTCGGGTGGCAGGCGCAGTGGAGCGAAGCCCCGGGAGAGTTATTTTGGAAAAGAGCCAACACCAAAAACCGTAAAACATACATCAGCACCCCAGACACCCTTGTGGCAAAACCACAGATGGCGGCGGATCGAATTGCCTGCGTTGTAGATCAAAGTCCTCAGGGATATGTGTTTGGATCGGTATCGGGAGCTTCTTGGGGGCAGGTTTAGGGGCCTCTTGGGAGCATGTTGGGGGCTTCTTGGGAGCCTTGGAGGCCTCTTAGGGCTTCCTTGGGGCCTCTTGGGAGCCTCTTGGAGGTATCTTGAGGGCCTCTTGAAGTATCCGTTCGGGTCCCCCGCCTGGGCAACTGCTTGGAACCGTCTTGGGGGCCTGGGCCGTCTTGGAGGCTTCTTGGGCCGTCTTGGGGCCCTATTGGGCCGTTTCGGGCCGCCTTGGGGGTTTTGGGGGCCGCCGTGGGGCCCTCTTGGGCAGTTTGGGGGCGCTCCTGGAGGCCTCTTGGGGCGACCTTGCGGGCCTCCTGGACCGTTCTGGAGCGTCGGGAAGCCGAAAAGGCGAGAACGCCGAAATCTTGCAAACACCTAAGGGAGATCAATGGTTGCTGCCTCTTGGGGCACTCGTCGGGGGCCACTTTGAGGCCGCTTGGGGAGGCTTGGGGGCATCTTGGGCCGCCTTGGGGCCATACGTGGCTCAAGTTTTTGCTCATGTATTTGTTCGGGCCCGCCCGCCCGCCTCCACAAGCTATCTGGCGCGCACGAGCACAGCCACGGCGGGACGCTGCCGGATGTGTGCGGCCCATGGCGTGGACGGCCCCGCCCTCCCAGACGTGGACGTCTGCGCTGCACAGCAGCAGCTCGGCGGCGCGGCGGCGGCAGCCCCAGCCGCTGCGGCTGAGAATCCAGGCATGGACGAAAGCCCCGGGGACTCGGGCCTCATCCAGGCCGCCGCCGCCTTGCGGTTGGCCGGAGTCCTCGCGCCGCCAGGGCTGGAGCTGCTTGCGGCTGCGGGAGCGCTGTCGGCATCTCCTGTTGATTGTATCCCCAACATCGACGTGAGTGGCGAATTCCTGGAGGACGAACTTTTGGCCAACTCGGTCGTCACAGCGGCGAGCCTCAGCACCGGGCGCATGCCTCCTGCACCCGACATTGGCATAAACATACCCACGACATGGGCAGCCTTGGACGTCTTGCTTCGTCGTCTGTCCCTATGCTGGGATGCTGCGGATGCCTGGGGTGTACTGTTGCTGCTCACCATGGAGGGGCCGGCCCCGACGATCATCGACTTGGACTGGCGCCTCTTCCGAGCCAAAACGCTCCTCGCTTTCATAAGCCAGACTGGCTAGACGGAGGGCGACGTGGAGCAAGCCCAGCACGCCGATGACTGCTTTGTTCGAGCCCACGGGGAATGCTTGCAGCAGCTGCCTGCGTTGCGAGCCCGCCGGCGGCGCGACAAGGGCGTCCCCCTGGACAAGTGGAAGGAGCTGGGCAGCGCGGGCCTGGAGTTCATCATCAACACGCCAGCCTCGACATCGGAGGCCATTGCGACGCAGCTCTCCGACATTGTGGAGCTCCCGCAGGCGGCTCGTCAACACGGACGCCTTCTAAGCCCAGCTGCGGCCCGGGAGTGGCAGTCCCGCTTGGATGCAGGTGCCCTCATGCCAGAGAACTTGCAGACGTGGCTCCCGCAGGGGGGCCTTGTTGCGTGGGCTCCGACCTCTTCGCCTGCATTGGGTCGTCTGCGGGACGCTCTGATGAAGATTCCGGCGGCGGTATTCGAAACCCGTCCTCTACGTGTCTTGGTGCCCATGGATGTGCTGCCAGGCTGCACGACGACCTCGACGGTTAGAGATTTGTTCTGGCACCCGTTCCTTGGGGATCGGTGGGCACCGCTGGTCTGGAAACAGAGCTTCGTGGCGCAGCTGTTGCCGATGATGACCACGAGTAGCGCCAGCCCTCAGCACGTCTCTCGTGGTCTATTGATCGCCACGGTCTCGACACACACACACACACACATACACACACACACACACTCAGCACCAACTCCCACGTGTCCTGTCGGTCGCTTTGCCGCTGGTGCAGGTGCGGGCCAGCCCTGCAATCTAATTACGTGGACTGCCCTCCAGCTCATCTGTCGGTTGTCTTTCAGCGGCTGCTGGCCTTGGGCGGCATGCTGAACATCCGAATGGGCCGCAGCACTCGCAGCCCAGGTTCGGTCGCCGACGCTCTACGTACCCGTACCGAGTTTCACATGCCGCCGCACGTCACCGACTTTAGCGTCCAGATGCTCCTCGTCGGCCTTCGACGCGAGCCTTGGCCAGTGCCAGTGTTTTTCGCCTCCCGCTCCATCGTTGCGGACCCGACGGCGCCACTCCTGGAGATGACGGAGCCGGCGGCCCTTTCCAAGGTCAGCCGCTTCTGCTAGGAGGCACTATTCCTAGGACCGAAGTCGGCGACACTGCGCACGGACATCGGCCCCGAGGATTGGCAGCACCTCCTCGACGAGATCTGGACGGCGGACCCGGAGGCGGCGGTCACCAGGCTGCGGCGGCGACCCTCCCGCCTAGGGGGGCGGAAGTTGGCAGAGCCAGCGGCTGCTCGAGAACGGGCCCGCGCAGCCTTGCAGCCAGCAGCCGCGCGGCCGGAGAACCCAGGCGGCGGCCCATGCTCGGCTGAGCTCGCGGCGGAGGCAGGCTCGTTGGGATACGACCCGCAGGCGGCGATCGCTGCCGTCATGCGCGCCTGGCAGCGGCGGCGTCCGCGGCCCAGCTCCTGCTGGGGTCGTGGAGACGAGTAACGGCGGACGACCCCTGTGCCGATCCTGGGCGGGTCCGTTTGTATATTCCGCACCTCGGCCGAAGGGGGCGCAGTGAAGGCGGCGATCCAAGGCAGGGCGGGGCAGGTAGGCGACGACCTCATGGCCTAGCGGGTCGAGACCCTCGTCCAGCCGGCGGGGGGGAGGCAGCCAGGCATCAGTGGCGCCATCCCCCAGTGCCTAATGAACCTGCGGACACGAGTGCTATGAGCTCACCCTCCTTGGCACCTGATACCAATGGGGTGGGTGCATGCCTAATTCAGACGATCGCCTCAGACGGCATTTTGGGGTATCTTCTTGATCTTATTATTTCTCCTTGTCGAGGTGTTCTATCGCGAATGCTTCACCACGACGTTCCCCTGCCGATGCAGTCCGCTGAGCCTCTTCTCCTACAACCGCTGCGCAGACAGCGCCAGGACAAGGCAATCCAGCAATGGGGTCGATGCCCGTCCCTGCCTCCAGCAGCACGGGCACCGCGCCTCGGCCGGGCTCGTCGGTGCCCGCCGCCACCTCGGGCGGCCGTGCCCGAGCTCGTCAGACCGCCGCCGGCCGCGGCAGATCTGCAACACACGCGCTTCCCGTGCCCAGGGGCCCTGCAGGGTGCGCGTTGGAATTCTCAAGACCTCTTTGCTCGCAAGCGACGGCGGCATGAGCAGAAAAATGCACTCGTCCGCCGACTTTTACGTGGTCGCGACTTCGTGGCAATTCGTGGACTCGCATGGCCTCGAGGGCACGACGGCGGCATGGAGCTGCCCTGACGATTGCGTCGCTCATTTCTCGCCGGGCGCTGCCAGTCGTGCCGGGGTCGGCATTGTTTTGAAGCAGAAGTTTCTCGAGCAGGTCGCGGAGGCCGAGCCTAGGTGGATGCACGTGGTCCCTGGCAGGGCGGCGATGCTTCAGCTTCGGGGCAGCGCTGGAGCCCTCGACCTCCACGTGGCCTAACTTGCTACTGGGCTTCTGGGTATGGCGCAGCCTCGCGGCACGGCCGCGCCCGGGGATGTCAACGCCTCGGCGCGGGAGCAGCGGCGCAGCATGCGCCAAATCGTGGCGGCATCTTTGTCGCCGCGGGAGAAGGTTTTTACCGTGATCATGCGCGACTTCAACTGGGTCACAGACGCGGGGGACAAGGTGAACAGGACGACGGGTGCCCTCTCGGGCGCGGAGGACGCTGGCGAGCAACGCGACGCCGAGAACACTCTGTGGCGCCCGGCGGGCTTGCACGAGCTCTGGCAACCCGAACTCACGCACGATAGTGCCTCGGCGTGGAGTCGATTTAACAGGTGCTACTGGAATGCCCACGTTGCGGGCCAGCTCGACAGGAATATCAAGTGCACGGCGTTGGAGCGGGTTCCTCACTTGTCGGCCCATCGCGCCATCGCATTTGGCCGCCGCACGCACGCCGGCTCGACGGGATCCCGCGGCCATGCTGATCTGGCCAGTGACTGTTGCTCGCAAAAGTTGGCCGACCCGCGTCGCCGCTGCCCACCAGGAGCCCCGAGAACAGTGGTTTCGCCGGCACCTGCCAGAGCCGCCATCGCAATCGCAGCCCCGTCAAGTTTCAGATAGCGGGGTACCGCCGCTTCGTCATCTGCTCTCCTGAAACTGGCCATGCGGCTCGCGGCCGACAGGATGCAGGCAGAGGCCGCTTCGGCGACGCCTACGACCCGCGCGGAAGACGACGTTGGACGCGCAGTCCGTTTTATCATGGCGGCGGAGCGCGGTCTGGGTGGCATTACGCGGCAATGTTTGCAAGTTTTTCCGCGGCTGTCCTCCTTGGCGCCGGCTCCGCTGGAGTTGGCGAACGCTCGCAGGCTACAGCTCCAACCGTGCAGATAGTTGGCGGTAGACCTCGCCCAGGAGGCGGCTATCCAGGAGTTTGCGGAATTGCAGAGGCACCAGGGCGACTGGACGGACAACGAGATCGATGCCCGTCGCAATCACATCCACAGCACGCTGAAACGGCTCGCGCCTGGCCGCGCAAGTTCCCTGACGGGGGTCGAGCCCCCCACGGGGGGGGCCCTGACAGACCCAGGGGAGATGGCCGAAGCGCCCAGGCGCCACTGGCAGGAGGTCTTCTCCCACCGCCCAGTGGACGAGCAGCTCTTGGAACAGTGGGTGCGGGAGGACACGCCGCCAGCGGCGCCTCCACATGGCGCCTCCGACTGGAGGCTACGTCGCCGACGCGTGTCTGCTGCGTTGATGGATCTCCGAATTCTGCGCCTGGCCCAGACGGCCTTTCGTTCGCCGCCCGGAGGCGGCTCGGCGACTTAGAAGTCGACGCATTGCGGCACGCGCTCAATTCGCTCACACAGGAGGCCCAGCCTGAGTACTTTGACGAAATCATTTCCACGTTCAACAACAGCTTGATGATCTTCCTCCCCATGGGGGCCGGGCCCACCGTGAACGGCGCGGCCGGGCACGGGCCGCCAGACACTCGGCCGCTCAACGTGGCCGGTTGCGACAATCGCATTCTCGCGTGCGCCGCGAGGATCTGCGTCGTGGAGCCTCTATCCAGGCTGTGTCGGAAGACCAGGGCGGCTTCGTTCCAGGCCGCTCGATGCTCGCCAATATCGCCGACGTGGACGAGGCCATAATGAGGACAGCGCTGCAGAGGGCTTGCCGCCGTGGTTGCTGAGATTCGTCGATGTCTTGTGCATGGGGAGAATACTTGTGCCATGGTGGTTGGCGGGTCGATCCAGGGTTTATTTCAATGGCTAGGATTTGCCGAGGCTGCCCACTATCCCGATTATTGTTCGCAGTAGCGGTGGACGTGTTGTTAAGGAGAACGAGGCGGCTCCAACCCTCGCTGGTGGCTCGGACCTTGGCGAGCGACATCGCCGCCGTCGCCCCCGACCCCCTCGAGTCGGCGCCGACCCTACTTTCCATCTGCACGGAATTCGGGCGCATCTCGGGGTTCTTGCTGAATTTGCCGAAGACCTGCGCGGCCCCGCTCTTCCGCAGCGGCCCGGCCAATGCACTGCGGGACGTGATCTCCACGCACCCCGGCTGGTGCGGCGCGCAGGTTGCCTGACGCGCCAAGTACCTCGGCTTCCTCCTCGGCCCCGAGCGGGGGCGCGAGGCTTCCGACAAGGCCTTCGACAAGGCGCTGGGCAGAGCGAGCTGGTGGGGGACAGCGGGCGGAGGACTGTTCATGACCACTATGGCCTGCGCGGTCTACGTTGCCTCTGCCCTCGGATTTCTCATTCAGCTCGACGCCTTGCCACTTAGCTGGGAACCCGCGGAAGCGGAAGTGTTCCGGCGTCTTGCGCCTGGCTCCAGCCCGTGGACATGCCCCGAAGACATCCGGCAGTTTTCCTCGCGGCTTCGCCGACGTGCGCGCGCGGCAGGAGGCTGCCCAGCTACGCGTTGCAGTTCTGGAAAACAGGGCGGCTTGCGGGTCGCGGACCGCGCCGCGAAGTTGCGCCGCGTCCGCATGGACCCCGACAGCTTGATGATTGTCAAAGCGGCTTGGGCTGATTGGTTTGATCGATCGTACGTCAGCCAGTTGAATAAAGACATGCGGCGACGCAGAGCAGCGGGGGTCACTGTCGGCTCAGTCGAGCGTCAGCTCTTGGGAGGCCCCGCTGACCGATTCATCACTGAACAGCAAGCCCGTCGCCTCCGACTGGGCTTCCAGCGGTGCACCACCGCCCTTCTGACGACCACCACCAGGCCCCAGGATCTGGAACCGCGAGTGAGACGCAAGCTTGACCGGTGGCCTGTCGCCCAAGTACCCCGCGTCCGCGTCTTGCGTGCGATGGGATCCCTGAGGATCCTGGGCAAGGCTGCGCCGTCGCGGATTTGGGCGGTTTCCTGGCGTGCGTTCTGGAATGGTTGGCCGACCTCGCGGCGCTCGCAGGGGAGGCCGGGCCTCCAGGGGTGCATGTTTCCGTGCGCTGAATTCAGCCCGGCTCCATCGAGCACGACGCGACCTGCACAGTGGCGCACGAGGTCATGCATAGAGAACTGGGCATGCCCAGGGCGGCCACCCGACAGGACCGACTCGCGGATTTTCTTGGCCTCGACCTTCGCGAATCCGACCACGACGCTGCAGTAGTCCTCCGGGGCATCCGCTCGGCGGCCATGTACCGCGCCCACTGCAGCTGTTGTCATGGACATCTTCGCCGCGGGCCGGCGGCACTTGAGGCGTTGCGACAGGCTTGCCGCGAAGTCGTCAAGGGCCACCGCCAGGCGAGCAAAATCTACGACGAGGCCCGCGCGCGGCGCTGAGTGAGCTCGGCTTCGGCGCAGCCCCCTGCCCGCTCGGCGGTTTTTGTTCCCAACCATTCCACGCGGGGTTGGTTGCGAGCCGCTTTGGCGCCTCACCTTCCTCCTCCTCCTCCTCCTCCTCCTCCTCCTCCTCCTCCTCCTCCCCTCCTTCCCCCTCCTTAGTTTACGTTGCCATTCAAGCAGCTCGGGCTCTGCTCTAACATTTTGTTTTTACGTGGTCGTGTGCAACGGTTTGCCTATCGCAGATTAACCCGAGCGCCGCACCAGGTGTTTGGAGCACCCGGTCCGTTTCCCGCTCCTTCTTCTTCCTCCTCCTCCTTCCCCCCCTTCTTAGCTCAAATCTGAGGCACGATTTCGGCCACGTTCGCAGGCCAGGCCTGCTGCGTGGCCGTGGTTTTGGCGATGTGGTAGTGCGCAGCACGCGAGCGTTGTCCCAACTGTCTCTGTTGGCAGCTCGCGCGGGCGAGGTTGCATTTAAGACCAGTTGTTCCTCACCAGCTGCCCCACACGGCCGAAATTCGTGACATTTTCGTTGCGTGCGAGATGTTGTGTGACGCTGCTTTGTGAGGGGAAAATAATTGTAACTGGATTCCGGGCCAAGATTTGTTATTGCGGCCAGCAGTCTAGTAAGCAGCTTGAGGGTAGGAACAGCGTATAGTGAAGCATGAGTAGGTTAGCTTCGTGCCAGACCCCCCGGATGTTACTTGAGACCGGGGTTTTCGCTGACACGATTTGTGCACCACGGTCCGACGACAGTTTGGCGATTCCGTCGAGTTCGTACCGCCATCTTCCCTTCTCTCGTCCCTTTCCTCCCGCCTCTACCTCTCGGAAGCGGAACGCTGGCTAACCTTTTTGGTTGGAAGGGTAGGCTTGTTTTCTGCCTCCTCTGCTTGTCTCGTCCTCGTTCCCCCTCGAATTCGGCCATACGGAGTCCCAGATCGGGTCCGCAGAAGGCTGGTAGTCGGCGCTGAGTGCGGCGACGGGTCGAGGTTATCGGTCAACTTGTCCAGGCTGCTTGGGGGCCGCGCGGCCCAGCCTCGACCTTCGGCGCGTGCATCCCTCCTCCTCCTCCTCCTCCTCCTCCTCCTCCTCCTCCATCCTGCCCCGAGTTGGTAGTTGCGATGCTATCGGTTGCACGGGCAATGCGCCGAGGTGTTTGCAGCCGTTGTCGGCCGACCCTGGGTCGCTTTAGCCATCTAGACTCGTTTTCCCAGCCGCTGTAGTGTATTCACGCGTTTGCCAGGCGCTTTTGCGCCCGCTTCCGAGTCCAGTATGTATATTTGGCGATTGCGTGCGCCCATCATGTGTTGTCCCCTCCTGTTGCCTCCCTCCCTTCCTTCTCTTGTTTTTTGCCGCTGCGGCTTGTCAGGAGTCTGGGGTATGTTCCGACATTGTGCCAGTTTGGTGTTGCCAGGTGCCAGTTTATACAGATGATCGTTCGGATCATGGGGGCAAGCGGTCAAAACGCTTTCAAATATCTATCCCTTCTCCCCTCCTCCTCCTCCTCCTTCTCAGGTGGCCGTCTTGTGCTATACGCGACGGTTCCCAGCAGCGTCTTATCCTCCTCCTCCTCCTCCTCCTCCTTCTCCTTGTTTGGGCCGCATTGCCTCGCACTGCCTCGCTCTTGGCTGTCCCAGCCGTTCTGTGCGTCCCGTCGCACGGCCTTTGGTTCGGACCAAGGAGCAGCAGGGATGGTGGCTCTGTCGACGACCGTGGCCTTGGGAACTCAGCGGGCCCTCTGGAGATCCCTGTGGGAAAACAAACTGGCGTCTTGGACTGCCTCGATAGCCCCTTGGGACCCTCGTGGCCCGTTTTGGGGCCCCGCTGGACCCGAAAAAGTCAGGGCACACTGGGAGCCGCGGGGGGCACGCCCATAGCCCAAGAAGATTTGAGGGCCCTGGGGGGGCGGGGCCCCTTGAAGGACCCTCGGGGGTCGAGCAAGGGACCCGAGGGGCACGCCACTTCGTGCCACAGGGGCACGGCGGCGGGCCTCTCAGGATGTCCGTGGTGCCTACTGCGTCTATTCTCTACCCTTGCCTCGCGATTTGGCAGCGTGCCGCCTACTCTCTGAGCTTGCGACGCCCCCTTATACTTTTCGAACTGTCTAGACCTTGTACTGTTCTGCTCTCTGCGCGCTCTCTCGGCTCTTCCCTGTCTGCACCCGTTACATCCTCTAGCATGTGCATGCGCACTGGAAATCTGGGACCCTGGGGAGACGGGGCCCGGAGAAACTGGGAGCCTGGCTGCCGAGCCAGGTTCGGCGCGAATCATGTTCACCAAATCCTGTCAGACATCCGCTAGAGACCCGTCAGTGCAAGCATTGAGTGGGAAAGCACGACGCAGAGCGCAGCAAGCGGCGTCATCTGGGATCGCTCCAAATCTTGGTCCTCTCTGGTGGTTCTCCCCCTTCTTCGCCCCCGATTCTCCTCTTTTTGGCCGCTCTCCTGTGTCTCCTCCGCCCTCTTCCTCCTCCTCGTCCTCTTCCTCCCCTGCTCCTCCTCTCCTTCCGACTCCTGTCCTGCCTCCTCATATGTATTTCATTCCTCCGCCATCCGTCCCGCATCCCGCCGTGGCGCTCAGTGTTGTTGTGTCAGTAAAATTGCGCGCCCAGCTCTCCGGCACCACGTGCACCGTTGCCATCCACGATCACACCAACAACAAGATCACGGCGGCTTTGCGTATGCTCTCCCGCTTGTCTCTCGCTCTTCGCCTCGCTCTACCTGGTGTCACCCCATCCTCTGCTCCTCTTCTCTGGATTATTTAATCGCTTCGCTCATTCCGCCGGCCCATACAGTCTCATGTCTGCCGTTTGCCCGAGGGCCTGGTGTCAATGCGGCGCTTTGGGGGTTCCTGGGGCCGCTTGGGGGACTCCTGGGGCGCTCGGGGGGGCATTTGGGGGGCCTCCTGGGGCCGCTTGGGGGACTCTTGGGGGCCTCCTGAGGGCCTCGTGGGGGCCTCTTGGGGCCTCTTAGGGGCCTCTTGGGGCCTCGTAGGGGCTTCTTAGGGCCGAGGGCTCGAAATGTTGTTTCGTGTTCCCTCTCTGGGGCCCCTTTGGGGGCGTTCTTGGGGCCCTCTTGGACCGTCTTGGAGGCTTCTTGGGCCGTCTTCGAGCCCTCTTGGGCCATCTTGGGACCCTCTTGGGGGCCTCTGGGGCCCTCTTGGGGCGATCTTGGGGGCCTCTGGGGCCGTCTTGGGGCGTCGGGAAGCCGTAAAGGTGGAAGCTCCAAAATCTCTCAAAAACCTAAGGAAAACCAATGAATTTTGCCTCCGGGGGCCCTCTTGGGAGTGCTCTTGGAGGCCTCTTGGGGCTTCTGGGGGCTATCTTGGGCGTCTTGGAGCGATCTTGTGGCATGTCGGACCCCTCATGTACCATCTTGGGGGCCTCTTGGGGGCCTCTTGGCCTTTCTTGGGGCTCTCGGGGACGTCTCGGAGCCCTGTTGGTGCGCTCATGGAGCGCTCCTGGAGCGCTCTGGGGGAGTCTCCAGGGGATCGGTCGGGGATCGCCCGGGGTACTTTTCGTCCGGGGACCCCCAGGGGCCGCCCCGCGCGCGCGAACTAGAGAATTGTTAACCAGTTACCGGAGATCTTAGCACGCCTCTGGCCCGTTGGGCCGGCGAATTTCCCGTCGCTCGTCTCCCAGTCTCATTCGCCGTTGGTGATCTTGACACTTGTCCAGCTCAGCCACCTCTTGTATCCCCATTCCCACGCCCTCCTCGCCCTCCTTGTCATCAGGCGAAACGGCCATACACCACCAACATGCACGCCTCTGATTGCGACGAGAGGGTTTGTTTGTACGGAAGGAAAGCAGGGGGACGGATGAGGAGAAGGTGGAGGGAGGAGCAGGGTTGATAAGCAGAAACGGGAAATGGAGGAGGCAAGCGACGACGGGGAGAGAGAGAGAGAGGGAAAGGGATAGAGGGAGGGAGAGGGAGAGGAGGAAGATGACTAGGAGAAAGAGGAGTAGGAGGAGGAGTTGGAGGAGGAGTAGGAGGAGTAGGAGGAGGAGGAGGAGGAGCAGGAGGAGCAGGAGGAGCAGGAGGAGCAAGGAGCAGGAGGAGGAGGAGGAGCAGCAGGAGGAGAAGGAGAAGGGAAGGAAGGAGGAGCGGATGCAGGAAGGTGGAGCACGATGGAGGCAGAGGAGGAGGAGGAGGAGGAGGAGGAGGAGGAGGGAGGAGGGAGGAGGAGGAGGAGCAGCAGGAGAAGGAGGAGTGGCGAGAAGGAGATCGCGGACGAGCATGAAGACGACGAGGACTACCAGGACGAGGGCTAGGACGAGGAGGGTGGGAATGAGTAGGAGGAGGACTAGGATGAGGATGATAAAAGGAGAAGGGTTCCTATCTTTATGCCTGGAGAGCTGCTAGAGCACGAAGCGGGAAAAGCACACCTATGATGTTGCATTGATCGTTGCTCATTGTTTTCCCCTGTCCTCCCTCCCCCCCCACACACACACCGCCCTCCGCCTCTCATCCTTTTCCGCCTGCCTGGCAGTGCCGCGCAGAGGAGGCACGCTTTTTGAACTGGCCGTCCCCTCCGGCCGCGCCATCCTCACTGCTGCGCGATGCGGAGAGAACATCGCGGAACCCGCAGATTGCCCACGTGGCCGACAGCACCGCCGCGATAGGGTCGACGGCGGGGAGCAAGAGGGACTGCAAGGCGCTCACGCGCGACCACAAGCCTCAGCTGGCGGACGAGCGAGCTCGCATCGAGAAGAACGGAGGAGCCGCGGGGCGGTCCGTCTTCTGGCTGGCTCTCCCCCCCGTCACCCCTCTCGTTGATGATTTCGTTCCTCGCTCCTCTACCGTCCATCTTCCTGGCAAAAGCGGCACGCACACAGAATGTCTGAGGCCCGCGCGGAGTGCTCGGGTCGGCGTTGGAGCCCCTTGGCAGCTCCTCATGCCCTGCCCCTTGCTTGCCTTGAGCGCCAGGGGCCAGGGGTGTTCAGTGCCGTCCCAGGGTATCCGCTCGGCCCTCAGAAAGTTCTGTTTGTGTAGTTGTCTGGTCCCCTAGTTATGGTCTCCACCATCTACCATTGACAAGCGCACCCAGCGGGGGGCGGTTATGTATGTGGCCCTATGGCGTTCACAGGCACCGCGGTGTGCGAGAGTTGAAGACTGCTCCTTGGCACTGTGATCCGTTGAGGTGGTGTTTACCAGTACTGGTTACAATCCGCTGTCCCATCCTATCCCTTTTGCCTCTCCTTCCCCCCTCCCCTCCTCACCCCGTCCCCCTATCCCTTTCATGTTTGTTAGCGTGGTGGTACCCTGGAGGATTCGAGCCTGCCTTGTTGGCGCACGCACGTGGAGGTGCCGGCTAGTGGTGTTGCTGTAGTTTGCAATGGTGACACAGGTGGTGGAACGCTGCGCCCACTGAGTAGCAGTGGCGATCAAGGTGTTGTTGGTGATGGTGGTAGCGTCGGCCCCAAACCACCACCTACTTCTGGGAGAACGCGTGTTACAACCCAGGGACAAGAAGGAACGGTTGCTCCACTTGTGTTCCTTCAATCCTCCTCATACATATGCCTTGCTCATTGTTTGTCCTCTCGTCAGCCTGCTCCCTCATCCCTCCTCCGTCCTCCTACGCTTTCCCCGCCCCCCCGCCACCACCACCCTCCCACTTCGTCCTCCTCATCGTCCTGATCCTCATCACCCCCCTTCCCCAACTCCTACCATGAACGGAAACAGAGCCCCTAAGCCATTCGAACATTCGTTAACACAGTTATGTGCGAATGGATGTTCACAAGGGTCAGGGCGTAATTTTACGAGTTGTACTCATCGTACGCTCCTCTCTTCCGCATCCTGCCGTCCTCTCTCTCCCTTCCCCTTGCCCCTTTTCCCCTCTCGCGCCTTCCCCCCCTCTCCCTGCCCCCATCCCAGTCCCCCTCACTCCCCCCCGTTTTAACTTTCCTTCTGGCCGCCGCCGTCTTCGCACCACGGCCTCTGCCGGCTGCCGGGGGGAGGCCGCGTCGTCTTCGATGGCTACGCGAACTACCGCGTCTACGCGAAGGGCGCGCGCTATCCGGGCCCGCGCCCCAACGGAGGGCCTGCGCGTGCACGCGCCGCCGTGTTGGGAGGCTTCCGATGAGGAGCGAGGGGGGTCAGAGGAAGGCGAGTTGAGACAACGGTAGTTGGCCTTCTGGAGGTTTCTTCGTGGCCACGGCTGGACGCAGCCCAGTTTTTTCCCTACCATCCTGTGGTGTTGGGTCTTCGTTTTGGAGAGACAGCGCCCCGCGTCTCCTTCTCCCCCTCCTCCCTCCTCCCTGCGTTTCCCCCACCCAGTCTATCTTTTCGCGGCCACATAGTAGGGAGCTCCACCGAAGGTCCACATGCCAGCGTTCGCATGCGTCCACCGCTCCCATTGTGGTACACCCCTCGAACTCTTCGTGGCCCCGCAGGGAGCTCCACCGACGGCCCCAGTAGCAGCAATTCTATCCGCCCACTGCACCTACGTTGGCACACCCCGCACACGTTTCGCGGCCCCAACAGGGGGCTCCACCGACGGCCCCAGTGGGTGCGTTCGCATGCGCCCACCGCACCCCTTGTGGCACACCCCGCACACGCTTCGTGGCCCTAAGGCCCTAGGGAGCTCCACCGACGGCCCCAGTGGGTGCGTCCGCACGCGCCCACCGCGTTCATTTTGGCACACCCTGCACACGTCTCGTGGCTCCACAGGGAGCTCCACCGAAGGCGCCAGTGGCTGCGTTCGCATGTGCCCACCGCGCTCATATTGGCACACCCCTCAAACTTTTCGTGGCCCCATAGGGAGCTCCACCGACGGCCCCATTCGCTGCGTTCGCAAGCGCCCACCGCGCCCATTTTGGGCACACCCCGCACCCGCTTCGTGGCCCCACAGGGAGTTCAACCGAATGTCCACATGCAAGCGTTCGCATGCATCCGCCGCGCCCATTTTGGCACACGCCTCACACGCCTCGTGGCCTCACAAGGAGCTCCACCGACGGCCCAGTGGCTGCGTTCGCATGCGCCCACCGCACCCATTTTTGGCACACTCCTCACACGCTTCATGGCCCCATTTGGAGCTCCGCCGACGGCCCCAGTGGCTGCGTTCGCATGCGCCCACATTACCCCTTTTGGCACACCCCGCACACGTTTTGAGGCCCCACATGGAGCTCCACCGATTGCCCCAGTGGCTGCGCTCGCATGCGCCCACTGCACCCACTCCGGCACACACCTCACACGTTTCTTTGCCCCAGAGGGAGCTCCACCGACGGCCCCAGTGTCTGCGTCCGCACGCGCCCACCGCAACCATTTTGGCAACCTTCACGCTTTGTGGCCCCCCACACGGAGCTCCACCGAAGGTCCACATGCTTGCGTTCGCATGTGCCCACCGCGCCCATGTTGGCACATCCCTCAAACGTTTCGTGGCCCCATAGGGAGCTCCGCATGCGCCCACCGCGCCCATTTTGGGCACAACCCGCACCCGCTTCGTGGCCCCACAGGGAGTTCAACCGAGTGTCCACATGCAAGAGCTCGCATGCGTCCGTCGCACCCATTTTGGCACACGCCTCACACGCCTCGTGGCCTCACAAGGAGCTCCACCGACGGCCCCAGTGGCTGCGTTCGCATGCGCCCACCGCACCCCTTTTGGCACACCCCGCTCACGTTTTGAGGCCCCACATGGAGCTCCACCGATTGCCCCAGTGGCTGCGCTCGCATGCGCCCACTGCGCCCATTCCGGCACACCCCTCACACGTTTCTTTGCCCCAGAGGGAGCTCCACCGACGGCCCCAGTGTCTGCGTCCGCACGCGCCCACCGCAACCATTTTGGCAACCTTCACGCTTTGTGGCCCCCCACACGGAGCTCCACCGAAGGTCCACATGCTTGCGTTCGCATGTGCCCACCGCGCCCATGTTGGCACATCCCTCAAACGTTTCGTGGCCCCATAGGGAGCTCCGCATGCGCCCACCGCGCCCATTTTGGGCACACCCCGCACCCGCTTCGTGGCCCCACAGGGAGTTCAACCGAGTGTCCACATGCAAGAGTTCGCATGCGTCCGTCGCACCCATTTTGGCACACGCCTCACACGCCTCGTGGCCTCACAAGGAGCTCCACCGACGGCCCCAGTGGCTGCGTTCGCATGCGCCCACCGCACCCATTTTTGGCACACTCCTCACACGTTTCATGGCCCCATTGGGAGCTCCGCCGACGGCCCCAGTGGCTGCGCTCGCATGCGCCCACATCACCCCTTTTGGCACACCCCGCACACGTTTTGAGGCCCCACATGGAGCTCCACCGATTGCCCCAGTGGCTGCGCTCGCATGCGCCCACTGCACCCATTCCGGCACACCGCTCACACGTTTCTTTGCCCCAGAGGGAGCTCCACCGATGGCCCCAGTGTCTGCGTCCGCACGCGCCCACCGCAACCATTTTGGCAACCTTCACGCTTTGTGGCCCCCCACACGGAGCTCCACCGAAGGTCCACATGCTTGCGTTCGCATGTGCCCACCGCGCCCATGTTGGCACATCCCTCAAACGTTTCGCGGCCCGCACACGTTTCGCGGCCCCATACGGCGCTCCACCGACGGTCCCAGTGGTTGCGTTCGCATGCGCCCACCCCACCGATTTCGGCACACCCCGCACACGCTTCGTTGCCCCATGGGGAGCTCCACCGACGGCCCCAGTGGCTGCGTTCGCATGCGCCCACCGCGCCCCTTTTGGCACACCCCGCACACGTTTTGAGGCCCCACATGGAGCTCCACCGATTGCCCCAGTGGCTGCGCTCGCATGCGCCCACTGCACCCATTCCGGCACACCCCTCACACGTTTCTTTGCCCCAGAGGGAGCTCCACTGACGGCCCCAGTGTCTGCGTCCGCACGCGCCCACCGCAACCATTTTGGCAACCTTCACGCTTTGTGGCCCCCCACACGGAGCTCCACCGAAGGTCCACATGCTTGCGTTCGCATGTGCCCACCGCGCCCATGTTGGCACATCCCTCAAACGTTTCGTGGCCCCATAGGGAGCTCCGCATGCGCCCACCGCGCCCATTTTGGGCACACCCCGCACCCGCTTCGTGGCCCCACAGGGAGTTCAACCGAGTGTCCACATGCAAGAGTTCGCATGCGTCCGTCGCACCCATTTTGGCACACGCCTCACACGCCTCGTGGCCTCACAAGGAGCTCCACCGACGGCCCCAGTGGCTGCGTTCGCATGCGCCCACCGCACCCATTTTTGGCACACTCCTCACACGTTTCATGGCCCCATTGGGAGCTCCGCCGACGGCCCCAGTGGCTGCGCTCGCATGCGCCCACATCACCCCTTTTGGCACACCCCGCACACGTTTTGAGGCCCCACATGGAGCTCCACCGATTGCCCCAGTGGCTGCGCTCGCATGCGCCCACTGCACCCATTCCGGCACACCGCTCACACGTTTCTTTGCCCCAGAGGGAGCTCCACCGATGGCCCCAGTGTCTGCGTCCGCACGCGCCCACCGCAACCATTTTGGCAACCTTCACGCTTTGTGGCCCCCCACACGGAGCTCCACCGAAGGTCCACATGCTTGCGTTCGCATGTGCCCACCGCGCCCATGTTGGCACATCCCTCAAACGTTTCGCGGCCCGCACACGTTTCGCGGCCCCATACGGCGCTCCACCGACGGTCCCAGTGGTCGCGTTCGCATGCGCCCACCCCACCGATTTCGGCACACCCCGCACACGCTTCGTTGCCCCATGGGGAGCTCCACCGACGGCCCCAGTGGCTGCGTTCGCACGCGCCCACCGCACCCATTTTGGCACGCCCCTCGCACATTCCTTGGCCCCACAGGGAGCTCCACCGACGGCCCCAGTGGGTGCGTTCGCATGCGCGCACCGCACCCAAGTCGGCATACCCCGCACACGTTTCGTGGCCTCCTACGGAGTTCCTCCGAATGCGGTGCATACAACGACGGTGCTCACAACTGCATATGGTTGGGTCCTTCGCCAGGCGAGTTTTCGTGTTTGGACCCCGGGAGGTATCCAGGGTTCGATTTATAGTTGCCGTTCTATCAATTCGCCTTGCTCCGAAGGGGGGGGGCAAGGAAGGAGGAGCAGGGAGGGAGGAGGGAATAGGAGGGGGAGAGTAGTTGGAGGTTGCGGAGGAGGACAAGGATTGGCTCAGATTCGCAGCTGGGCTGTAGAACCCCATGGGCAGGGCTGAGCGAACGGGGGAGACCCGACTCAAGACCCAAGAAAGGGGAGGGCAACGAGGCAACGAACCCGCGGACGAGGAGGAGGAGGAGGAGGAGGAGGAGGAGGAGGTCTAGGACGAGGACGAGGACAAGCAGAAGAATCAGGAGGAGGATCAGAAGGCGCACGCAGGAGGAGGGAGGAGGGAGGAGGTTCGAGGAGCGGCTGCTGAAACATTGGGTAAGAGACATCAGGAGATCAGCTGGCGGAGCCGATCTTTCGAGACCCCCTTCATGCGCCGGGCGCTGCGCCTGGCGAGAGCGCGTCCTCCAGCGCAGTGCGAGCTGATGTTCCAACACCGGTGTGTGTGTGTGTGTGTGTGCTCTCCTCCCCCGTGTCAGCAGTCAGGGGCAACGATAGGGGGGGATAGGCATAGGGTGGGATGCATCGACCCCCAATCGCCCGTTGATCGCCGGTAAGTGTCCCGATAGCCTAACCTACCCATAAACGTGAGGCTTCACTATCGGGGCCCTATCGCCGATCTATCGGCGATGTGTCGCCGATTCCAGGTCGATGTGTCCCCCATATGCCAGTCCCCCAGCCCCCTCCCCCCTATCGTTGCCCCTCAAGCAGCCGCTCCTCCTGCTCCTCCTCGTCCTGGTCATGGTCCACCCCTGCCCTCTCCTTGCCACCTCTCCCTCGCCTTCTCCTCCTGCTCCTGTTTCTCATCCTCCTCCTCATCATCCTTTCCTCCATCCTTCTCCACTTCCTCCCTCCTCCTCCCTCCTCCTCCTTCTCCTGCTCCTCCTCCTCGTCCTTCCTCCTCCTTCTCTGTCCCTTCCTCCCTCCTATTTCTGCTCCTTCCTCCCCCATCTCTCATGCCCCCCGTAACCCGTGCCTCCCCCTCGTCCTCCTCTCCTGCTGTTCTTCTTTGCCTCCACTCCTTCTTCGGTGTCTCTTTTCTGCCTCTTTTGTTCCTCTGGCCCTGCCCTGCCTCCTGCCACCTCTTCTTGCAGCCACCGCTGCTTGCTGTCATCTGGCAGCTCTCCTCTTTCTGGCGCCGTGCCCCCGCCACCTTCCTGCTGGCTCAAGCGGAGGCAGCAGGAGTCCAGCAGCCGAGCCCGCCCCTCGCGAGATATCAGCGCAGCAATGGCCGAGGGCGCCAAAGCGGAGAAGGCGGCGCCGCTCGCGCGGGCGAGGAGGAGGAGGAGGAGGAGGAGGAGGAGGAGGAGGAGGAGGGGACGGGGGCGGCGGGGGAGGAGGCGAATGGGGTGGAGCAGTCTTTCCAGTTGTTGCCCCCTTCCGCAGCAGAGCGCCATTGGAGGGGGGCATGGCAGCGTCCTTGAGTGGATTATGATGCCACTAGTGCCCAGTGCCCCAGGAGGAGCAGCAGGAAGAGCAGGAGAATGAGGAGGAGGAGGAGGAAGAAGATGATGAGAAGGGGGGGGCAAGGGCGAGTCGGAGGGGAATGGGAGGGGGAGCGTGAACAGACGAAGCAGTACAAGGGCACGCACGAGGAGAAGGACAATGAGAAGGAGCACGAGCACGAAGAGAAGACGGGGCAGGGGGAGGCCGGAGGTAGAAAGACAGGTGCAGTGCTTCGGGCGCAAGAAGACGGCCGTGGCGGTGGCGCTGGTGCGCACGGCGAAGGAGGGGTCGAAGGGCGGCCAGGCCGCGGGCCGGGCGAACTGTGGCCCCGGATCCCCGCCCAGCCCGGCCCCAGACGGAGGAAGGAGAGATACCGATGCTGCTGCTCGCCCTGGTGAGCCCTCGTCACCACCGCTGGGTTCTCCTCGCCATCCTGGTCAGACCGCACCCAGGGAGAGATCTGGGGAGCAGCGGCATGTGCGTAAGAGTGGCCCTTCGCAGGAGTGACCTTTGGTGCGGGCCCAACGGGGCTCTCCGATCGCCGAACGGGGTGCGGCAGCAGCGGCTTGCGCGCTTGGTGTTGCGCCCCCCCCCGCGCCGCCCCCCCTAAAACCGCGCACCAAAGGTCACTCTTGCCGGGGGTCACTCTTGCGTATAGCGTCGAGGAGGGGGGAGGAGGAGCAGGGAGCAGGAGGAGGAAGAGAGGCCCTTGGCTGGGCCAACCGATCCCCTTCCATGCGATCTCCCAACTCCGCTTCGCAGGAGGACGCATCCTCCTCCCCTCCTCCTCCTCCTCCTCCTCCTCCGCCTCCTCCTCCTTGTCCTTCAAGCACAAGCCGACCGCGGCTCCTGGCAGGCATTTCGGCTTCTAGTTCTAGTGAGTGAGCCCTGGGTCGCTCCCAACCGGTGCGGACTACTGTCGCCGTCAGCTTTCGATCTGCCTCGCGACCCGCCCTCGCCCCGCCCTCTCCATCCATCCGCGACCGACCCCGCGGCCCAGCCACACTAGCGTAGAAATCAAATCCGCAAGGTGAGCTGGTTGTCTGGCATTGGCTGTGGAAAACACCATTGCGCGCAACCCGCCCACCGTTTTGAGAGGTCGGCGCCTGCAGCGGGCTGCTTTGCATTGGCTTCAGAAGTGCAGCCCGGGCAGCTGAATGCTCGTGTCCGCAACTGCGGGGCGTGGGTATGTTTAGTGTTTGTGCGTATGCTCTTTGGTGCGTCGGCGGCAGCGTCCATCCCAGGCAACAGCTTGGGGATTCCCAGCGGGCTGTGCCCAATCGAGCCCGCACGCGCGTTGCCCGGGTGTGCACCACCGATATGTTCAGCAGGACAGCCGGTCGTAGGTTAGAATTTGGACAAGCGTGATTAAAACAACATAGGCATCGAAAAACACCAAGCGCGATAACACGAAGTATGCGGGTGTAGGTGTTCTCCCAGAAGTTTGGATATAACTGCCTCCACATCGTATAACTGGAAAGTAATCCACCCCGACGAAGCCGCCACTCCAGGTTGACTGCCCCGCAAAATGGGCATCATGCTGCACGTAGAGGGGATTGAGTTGCTCCTGGTAGTCACCGAGAGACTCGCTCTGGCATTCGGGGCGAGGCGGCGCAATGTGGGCCACGCGCCTTGGCAGCAGTAAGGACAGAGTTGTCCTGTACAACGCGTTGAGTCGGCGCCGAGGCCGTTCCACACATCAGTGCATGAACAGATGGCTTGCGGTCGGCTGTCACGGCTTCCCGAAGAACCTGGGCTTGCCGGACAGGGCCGACACGTCGACCTCCTCGATGCCGTCGGAATCGTTCCTGGCGGGTCTGGCGGAAAGTAGGGAGCATTGGGCAAATCAGCCGGAGAAGGCTTGCACATTTCTCTGCCCCAAAATATGTTCAGTCGATCAAGCAGGCGCCAAGCTCTTTGCTCATGCTCGTCATCGTTTGCGTCCGACTGCGTCCAGATATTGCCTGGGTGTGTTGCCGACAGTGCTTTCAGCAGAAGCAGTTGGTCATAGTTCAGAATGTGGAGGAACTCGAGAGGCAACAGCAAGGTTCTTATTTCACGTAACTTATGTTGGTGCCGTCTCAGGAATACAACAACGACCTAAGCGCCCTGAGGACCAGCAAGCCCATGCGAACGACTACGACCACGAGGTCACTGCGCCGCTTACACGACGGGTGCGTTCTGGTAATAGGCCATCCCAGGGCACTCGGCACTCGCGGCTGCCATGCTTACCAGAATTCCATCATGTTGTAGTGCGCATTGGGCACAGTTCTCGGAGACGAGGTGGCGCAAATTTGGCCGCACTTTCTCGCCGCAGTGTGGCCATCGTTGTTTTGCACAACAGCGTCCGCGAGTTGGCGGTCAAGTCGCTCCCACCATGATATCTCAAAAGAAGGCCACCCCGCCGACCTCCTCGGCGTTGTCGGACTCGTTTCGCGCCGTGGGTTCGCCGTGGCTCCTCGGCCGGAGTAAGCGCTTGGAGAAGGTGCGCCATTTCGTGGACGTCAGTGATAACGCAGGGGTTTGAACGCTGTCGCAGTCCGCAACCGCGTGTCTCAAGGCCCCGTTGGGGGCCGATGTTTGGGTCGGGCGGGCGGGGCCAAAGCTCGCTCCTATGCGCCGCGTCGACTCCCTGGAGTGCACCGTGGCGGCCCGGGTGGTGGCCGTCTTGGGCTGGCTGGATGCCTTGTTGGGGATTGGCCTCTGCGCCGGGATCACAGCGCCTGCGTTCTTCGCCCATGGTCCGGGAGAGGGCCACCAGAGAGATGAGGGGGGGGCAGAGGCCCCCCGGGACGCGGAGGCGCAAGCGGAGCCGACTTGCGCCGGAGGAGACGGTTAAGGCGCCGGCCACGCGTTCGCCGCCTTCGAGAGTTGAGCAGCCAGGCGATGCAGCAACGCCTCTCCCAGTCGGGCCCTCGGCCACGGATCTGCCGCTGCCGTGGCCGACCCGGGCGGGCGCCCCGGTCGTCGAGCTCAGACCCGAGAGATTTTTGAGGCAGGGCGCTCGGCCCCAGGCCCCCTGCGGCTACTGCGAGGAGCACTGCGACCCGGACCAGCCGCTCGGCAGCGACGCCGCGGCGCAGGAGGGCGAGGCCCAGCGCCCTGCGCAGCCCAGCGGGGCCAACCCTGCCTCTCGCCCCCTCTCGGGGGAACCAGCCATCCGAGCGCGGTCGGGGGGGCGCATCTATACGCCAATCCATTGCTCGGAAGTGGACGTTATATCAGGGTGTTGTTTTTTCTTCGGTGCCGAACTGTCTGTTGCCAATCTCCTTTCGTTGGTGCGCGGTTCTCTTTCCCTCCGCCGTGCCGCGCGCCTGCGTTTCTTATTCGTTGTTTGCGTCTTAGTATTTTTCTTTTATCATGAGTGGCCTTCTTCCGAGCATTGTTCTCCTTGCTATCGCAAGTGTTGCTATTATTTTAATTAGTCGTATTATTGTTCTTCTTCGTCTACTTCCTCCGCGCGCGCCGCCCCGCCCCCCGCCCCCCGCCCCCGGCGTCTCCCCTGCGTTGCCTGCTGCGCGCTGCTGGCGGCCCGTGAATGCCATCCGCAGCTGTTGCTGCGAAAGCCGTGATCAGTTCGGCAGCCCCCTCGCGCGGATCGCGCCTCGCGCGGAGCTTCACCTGCGGCCCCAGCAGGGGCGCACCTGAAGCTTAGAACGAAGGTAATATGGAGAGTTGCTGGTACGTTGAACAACTTCAAAGTAGCCGCAACATAGGTTGCGGAACTAGGTGAACGACACAGATTCGGCATGTGTAAATTACATGACATTATGTTGTAATGTGTAAGCGCTCAAGCGCAAGCGGTGTCTGCGGCGCGCGGCGAGTGCCTAGCTGGGCAAGACGATTGCCATGGCAGCTCAGGGCGATCATCGTCCTGCAGCGGCGCGCGGGATCGGCTTCCACGGTTCGGATTTGGGGTCTCTCGCCGCGGGGGCGCGCCGTGAATTGGCGCGGCGCGGGGCCTGGCGCCGCCCTTGTGCGTCCAACAAATTATTGGCGAAGGGCCCGCCCATCTGCATTTTTGATCACAGTTTCTGGTGGCGCGCCGACATGGGCCAGGGCCGCCGCGCGAGCGGCGCCGGCAGGGTCGGAGCTTTCAGCTGAGCTTCCTGCGGGGCCACGACACGCGCGACAGTTGCGCAAATGCGCCGCGCCCAGCCGCTGCTGCTAGGGCCTTCGGCGGGGCCCCCCGTCGAGCCGCGAACTGCGCGAGGGTTCAGCAGGCGCCGCGCGCGGCCGCCACCTCTGGTGCCTTCAGCGAAGGCCCCCGCGGGCCCACGACGCGCGCGAGCGGTGCCCAGGTACCCGCGCGGCCGCTGACGCTGCGACTTTTAGCGGGTTTCCTTATTCGGGCCATCGAACGCGCGAGGGGTGCGCAAGCGCCACGCGCGGCCGATGTCGCTGGGGCCTTTGACGGGGCCCGGGGAGTGCAAGTGCCGCGCGCGGCCGCTGCTGCCGCGGCCTCGACGGAGTCGCATGCGGGGCCGCGAAGCGCGCGATGGGTGTGCAAGTATGGCGCGCAGCCTCTGCCACTGCGGCTTTCGGTTGGGTAAATGCTCGAGGGGCCTGCGAGCACCGCGCGCGACCGCCGCCGTTGGGGGCATCTGTGGGCCCCCCATCAGGGGCGACGGCTGGGGCCCCCCCTGGGGCCGCTGCATTTTTGCGCAGGGTCATTACCCTTGAGGCACCGCCCCATGTCGGCGACACTTTTCTTGGATGCACTGCCGCGGGGGGCGGCGTGGCGCAGACGCCAGCCAGCGGCAGAGCCGCGCGGCCGCGCCCCTCGCCTGGCGCTGCGCCCCCGCCCGCCCCCCCGCCCGCCCCCCCGCCCGCCTGGCGCCTGGAGGGGGCCGGGCCCCCATCCCAAGGGCGCGCGGGGCGGGGGGGTGGCCGGGGGCCGCGCCGATCGAGGCCCCGCGGCGATTGCGCCGGCGTCTGGCGCCGAGACTGGGATGGATATTTCGCCGACCTGGGTCGCGGTGGCCATATGGCAGCAATCTTTGGGGCCCTCGAATCTGCTGCCCGAGGCGCCGGCGCAATCTGCGCGGGCCGGGCTGGGCGCGAGCGGCGCCGCGGATCGGGGTCGCCGCGGGGGGGGCGCGGCGCAGACGGCCAGGGGGGGCAAGGGGGGTAATTTTTCGCGGGCGGCGGGCAGGACGAAGAGCGCGCGAGGGGGAAGAGGGGGGGGGGGGGGGGGCGCGATCGGAGGGGGAAGGGGGGGCTAGGAAGGGGGGGGGGGGAAGGGCCGGGGGGCCGGGAGGTCCGCGTCGTCGGCGGCAGTCTGGAGGGCGTTCTTGCTGGCTCACTCGCAGGTCGCAGCGGCGGCAGCCGCGCCGGCCGCGGCGGCGCGCTCTCGTCGTCGGTGCGCGGGGGCACGCAGGACGTTTTGCCATAGGCATTCGCGCGATGATGGTACAGTGGCCATGTGAGTGCTTTAGCCATGTGAGTGCTTGGATCGCAGGAGTGCCGGGTGGCCCGTGGCCTTTTGCAGCGGCGAGTCGGCCCGTAGCTTCGCGCGGCCCGTGCCCGCCTCCACTGACTTGTCTCCGCCTCGTCGCCCAGTCCCCCTCGCCCCAAGGGCCCGTTCTCAGCGGCCCATCGAGGCTGTTCTAGCCGCCGTCCCCATTCAAGTTCCAGCGCCCCCCCTTCCGCCCTCTGCGCCCCCACTTCGCCCAGTGTTATTCTCCAGGCGACGTCGCGCGCCTGCCCCTTCTCCTTCTCCTCGCGCGCGGGTTCCATCGGCCGCGTTGTCGTTTTCCCGGCGCCGTCGCCCCTGTCAGTGGCTGCGCTGCTGCTGCTGCCCCCTCGTCTGCCTCCCGCCGCGTCGCCGCCGCCGCTGCCGTCGCAGGCGCGGCGTCGGAGATGTGCAGATTCGGCGGGGTTGCGTCGTCGACTCGCAAGCGAGGCGTTCGAGTTGTCCGGGGTGCATCGCCCCTGGGCGAGCGCGCGCAGTTGCGTCTCGCGTGCGCCGCGCGCCAACGCGCTAATCGAGCGAGCGGTTCCTGCGCAATTACGCAGCGGAGACAGTTTTCCATTTATTTCGCAGCACCACTCTTTCTTACATTTCTCATGCAATTTAATGTTTTCCTGGGTTCCCAGGCTGTCCGCGCTCATTTCGGCACGCCCCTGGCGCGGACTGCAGCCCCCCGCGGGCCCCGCCCGCAAGCCCAGAGGGGGGGGAGGGGGGGGGGGGGGGGGGGGGCGCCCCCCAATGCGCATCCGCAGCCATTGCGGTGCGCCTTTCCCGCCCACGGCCCTCGCGGGGGCGATATGATTGCGTCGCCGCGCCCGCGTCGGCGCGCCACTGACGAGGATCGCGCCCGTGGACTTCTGGCCTCAGTGGGAGGGAGTTCCCACTGCATTGCGTCCCCGCGTTCTTCTCGGCACGCCACGCCAGCGACAGGCGTCGAGCTGTAGGTGCCCTGCTCGTGTTTACATTCGGGCGGCATCGGTGCCGAAAGGTTGCTCCACGCCAGCGATCGGTATCGATCTGGGCCTTGCTCATGTATGTAATCTCGACATGCCTCGATGTCGCTCTTCCTCCTCCTCCGCCTCTTCTTCCTCCTCCTCCGCCTCTTCCTCCTCCTCCTCCTCACGCTCCTCTCCTCGTCCTCCTCTTCCTCCCTCATGCTCCTCCCTCTCCCTGGGCTGCCTGCTCCCTCTCCCTGGGCCGCCTGTTCGGCGTTTGGCCTTGGGTGCGCTTGCGTCGTGGGGTGCACCGCGGCCCCTCGAGCATGGCCAGCGCGTTGCGAAATTGCCCGTTGGCCGCCTGCCTGTCCGATCCGCCCTGGGGGTGCCCTTTCCGTGGCCCATGGAAGATTCGGATCAACGGGTGCCCCATCACCACGGTGAAGCCAGACATCTTGCGCGTCAAGGTCTACGAGCCGTTGTTGCTCCTCGGGGCCGACAAGTGGAAGAAGGCCCGAGGAGGGGGGCGGAGGATGGAGTGAGGGGGGCGAGGGAAAGGGTACATGTGTGCAGGAGGAGGGGACTTGCGTAGGAGGACGGAAGATGGGGAGGGGATGAACCGAGGAGAAGGAAAGAGGAGGGCGAACAATATAATGATGAAGGCGAGGATCTGAGCACATAGGAGGAGGAGGGGGCGAGGGGGATACGGCGGAGGACGGGCAGGGGAGGTGGAAGGTAAAAATCATTTGGGGGCGGAGGGGGGGGGCGAGGGGAATACGGCCAGCAACTCTCAACTAAGGACCCTTTTGGGTTCAGGAAGGGCTATGGTGTTCGGCCCGTTCCTCAGATCTGGGTTGGGGAACCTGCTCGTTGCCGAGGCTCGCCGGGGCCAGAAAAACTGATGCGTTTTTCGATCCGTACCCCTTACGGTAGCACGATCACTGTGTGGAGGGCGGGGGGGGTGGGGGGAGGAGTGCGGGGGGGAGATGTGGAGAAAGGGTGCAGTGGGGCGGGAGGGGGGGAAATGAGCGGGAGGGGGGGAGAAGGAGCGGGAGTCGAGGGGGGAGGCCAACGCGCCCAGAGGTGGACATCCGACTCCGCGTGAAGGGCGGCGGCTACACCTCCCAGATCTACGCGCTCCGACAGGCCCCCTGCTCATCATCTTTTCTGCGATGGCCCATGAGGAAGATACGCCAGCGGCGTCAGTTCCTTATCTCCCTTCTCGCCCACCTCCTCGTCATCCTCATCCGCCTCCACCTTCCCATACTCGTATCCATCATCCTGCTTCTTACGCCTACTTGACTTGCTCCTGAGCGAGGCGCAGCAGGAGTATCTGGGGGGAAAGATCTGGTGGAGGACGAGCACGGACGGGTGGGAGGACGGGAATATGGTGTGGAGGGGGACCAGGAGGAGGAAGAGACGGAGGAGAAGCAGGGCGGTTTAGTGCCATCGACGCTCATGACACGCTGTAGGCCAGCATCTCTACTTTCCTCACCTCATGTTGTTGATTATCGTACTGCCCGCATCCCCCTCTCCTCCCTCCTTCCCGCTCTTCTTCCCTCCATCCCTCTCTCTCTATCTCTCTCTCTCTCTCTCTGTCCCTCTCTCTCTCTCTCTCGCTCTTTATTTCGTTGTTTCTGTCATTGTGTTTCTCTTTCACTCGTTTCTTCTCTGCCTCTTTTGTGCTCTCTGTCTCTAGATTCCGATGTATGATGTCGAGATCAAGAAATATATATACCAGTATATATACATATATATATATATATATATATGTATAGATACACAAGATTTTGGCGGCTCGCTTGGCTTCGCCTTTAGAATCTTGGTCGGATGGCGCCAGAAAGGCTCGCTGGGACGGGCAGTCGTCGCTGCCGCGGTGCGCCTCGTCAATGGGGCCCGTGGGGCTCGTGCGGCTCATAAAGCTCGTTTGTGATCATAGGGCTCTTGCGGCTCGTCTGGCTCAGAAAGCCCCCCTCGCACGACTTGGTGAACGCTTGACCCGAAAGTGGTCCCGAGACGGCACCGAGACGTCCCATGGACCCGGCATTTTGACGACCGCTCAAAATGCCGGGTGCTGGGGGTCTCTTCGGGCCATCTTGGGCCGCTCTTGCTCTGGGGCCCCGGAGAAGGCCCCGAGAGGACCCCGAGCGAGCTCAAAAGGGGTCCAAGAAGGCCCCAAGAGCGGCTCCATGTGGGCCCTCGCACCCGGTGTTTTGACAGCTGCTGAAAATGTCGGGTGCGGGGTCCCTCTTGAAGCCCTCCTGGGGCTTCTTGAGGCCGCTCTTGGGCTACTCTTGAGGTGCCTGGGGCTCGGCGAAGGCCCCGAGAGAGCCCCAAGCGGGCCCAAGAGTGCTCCAAGAAGGCCCCAAGAGCGGCCGAAGAGCTTTGCATGGTCATGCAGTAAGATTTGGGTTCTCTTGCAGCGCTTGTGGGGCTCTTCCTTGGCCTCTCTTGGGCCCTGGAGAAGTCTCCAAGAGAGCCCCACGACAACTTCCATGGGGCCTTGGAGAAACCTCGGGCAGAGCCCCGCGAGCCCTCCCAGATGGCATCTGAGGGCCTCGGGGGTGTGCGGGTCATTGGGCACAGAGGGCTCCTCAGACTGAATGGGCTCGGAAGCTCGTAGTGCGCAGGGCTCGTGGGGCCCGTGGGGCTGATAGGGCCGATAGGCCTCATAGGTTCCGCGAGGCTCATTTGGGGGTAATCTGGTGGGTCTGTTAGGGCTAATGAACATGGGGCTCGTAGGGCTCATAGGGCTCTTCGGCTTCATATGGCTCGTAGGGCTCATCGGGCTCATAGAGCGCATAGGTGTCGTGGGACTCATGAAGGCTCATGAGGCGGGCTCATAGGGCTCATAGGGTTCATATGGCTCGCAGGGTTCATAGGGCTCATAGAGCGCATAGGTCTCATGGGACTCATGAGGGCTCATGAGGCTCATAGTGCTCACAGGGCTTGTAGGGCTCCCAGGGCTCACCGGGCTCATGGGGCTCATAGGGCTCATAGGGCTCACAGGGCTCATAGGTTTCATATTTCTCGTAGGACTCAGAGGGCTGACAGGGGCTCATAGGGCTCGTAGGGCTCATAAGGGGTCATGGGGTGCATAGGGCTCGTAAAGGTCATAGGGCTCAGAGGGCGAATAGTGCTCGTAGGCATCATGGGTTCCATGGGGGCCAAAAGACTCATAGGGCTCATGGGGGCTTATAGGGTTCCTATGCCTCGCAGGGCTCAGAGGGCTGACAGGGGCTCATAGGGCTCGTAGGGCTCATAAGGGGTCATGGGGTGCATAGGGCTCATAAAGGTCATAGGGCTCAGAGGGCGAATAGTGCTCGTAGGCATCATGGGTTCCATGGGGGCCAAAAGACTCATAGGGCTCATGGGGGCTCATAGGGTTCCTATGCCTCGCAGGGCTCAGAGGGGTCATATGAATCATACGGATCGAAGGGCGCATCCTGCTCGGAGGGCTCATAGGCCTGTTGCGCTCATTGGGCTCATAGGGCTCACAAGGGGTCCCTGGGCCGAAGGTATGAACGTGGCGCTAGAGGAATAACCAAGGCATTTAAGATGCAACCTTGCGGAGATCAATGAGTGTGGCCTCTCGGGGCCTTGGCGGGACTTTGTTTGGGGCTCTTTTGGGCCGCCTGGCGGCCCTCGTGGCCCGCTGCGGGACCTTCTTGAGCCGTCCTGGGGGGCGTGGGCCGTCCTGGGGCCTTCTTGGGCTCTTTCGGGAGCCTCTTGTGGCCTCCTGGGGCTGTCTTGGGAGCTTTGGGGGGTTCTCGGGGCTCCATCCAGGCTGTCTTGAGCCGTGTTGGGGCTCTTTGGGGCTGTCTTGGGGCCCTCTTCTGGATTTCTTGGGCCGCATTGGGGCGATCTTGGGGCCTGGCTAGGCCGTCTTGGACGCTTTGAATACCAAAGAAGGGGATATGAAGAACACATGCGTTTTTTTCTAGGGGATGACATTAGTTGTGCCTCTTGGGGATCCGCCTGGGAGGGCCTCTTACGGGTCACTTTGGGCCCTCTTCGAGCGCCCATGGGCTGCTCTCGAACGATGTTGGGCCGTCTCGGGCCCCCGCGGGACTTTCCAGGAAGCGATCGTGGGCCCGCCCGAGCGGCGTAGGGTGGCCCCGAGGGGCTGCCCAAACTGGAAATTATCCTTCCACGTCGGTGGGAGCGCCCAAGGCCGAATTTATGTACGGGGGGGGGGGGGTTTTTCTTATGAGAATATTCGAGAAGGAATACTATATATATATATTATATATATATATATATATATATATATATATATATATATATATGTCTGTATACTGGTCCCCTGTATGCGTATACCCGTCCCCCCCCCCTTTGGCCAGGACACGCCGCCCCAACACGTCCGTAGCCTGTTTGGGCTTAAAGGTCCAAGCATTTCTTCGGGGTCACGGCCACGGGCTGTCTCGTGGCCGCGAGGCCTGCTCTGAGGGCCGCCATCCGCCCTCCTCGCGCTCCTGGCGGCAGCACTGGGAGGCGAGGGTCGCTGGCCTGGCTTGTGGCAGGCGCGGGGCTGGATGGCCCAGGCGGCTGTCGAGGACCTCGACGGTGGAGACGAGGACCTCTGGGAGGCGCCGGAGGCCGTCGTGCCCGCGCCCGTGGAGGACGGACCCGTGCCGATCGTCCCACTGGCGGTGGCCCAGGGCAGATGCTACTGCAGCACGGGCTACACTGCGGGCGGCCTCGAGCAGTGCCGGTTCGCGTGGCGGGCGCTGCGTGTCTCCAGCGCAGAGCCGCCGTTGCGCTTCGTGAAGGCCGAGTTCCTCTTCAGCGACGACGGCTACTGGGACTGGTGGGCCAGCCACCCTGGCCAGCCGAGCGCGATGACGGTGCGCCCGCTCATCCACGTGTGATCGGAGAACCCGTGCTCAGTCTTGGAGGGGCCGGGGACGTGCACCGAGCTGATCCACGTGTCGGACGGGGCGGAGCTCGGCCTCGGGGACCTGCGGGCGCTGTTCGTCGAGTGCCAGGAGACGAACCCCGAGGCGGCTTGGCCAGCAGCAAGCCTCGGGCCGCTGGTCGCCGCCGCCGCCCCCGCGAGGCCCGCTGCGGTGGCCAAAGCGGCGGGGCGCCCACCAGCCGCAGCAGGTCCTCCCAGGGCCCCGCCTGGCGCTGCCCCCTTCGACGACTTCCTGAGCGTGAGGGGCTCGTCGCGCGGGCCTGGCTCAGAGCTGGCCGCAGGCGAGGAGGCGGCTGCCGCGGGCGGCCTGGGAGGCAAGCTCGAGGGTGCTCGTGTGCGCTTCGAGGAGGGGAAGCGGGCTGCTGGCGACGTCAACCTGGACGGCTTCCCCCTCGGCGCAGAGGCGGCTGGCGAGGGGCCTGCGAAGAAGCGGTCGCTCGGAGACCTGCTGGTCGAGCGCGCCGCGAAGCTCAAGAGGGCCGCCTCGGACGCGGCCCCCCGAGGGTCAGGAGACCCCGTGCCCGATCGGGCGCTGCCAGGAGCTGGTCCGAGTGGCGGCATGGCGGAGCTGGCGCAGGCGCTCGTGATGGCCATCCGCGAGGGCAAGGAGGGTCCCCCTGGCGACGGCGGCGGGGACGGCCTCGGCTCCTCGGACCCCGCGGCGGTGCCGCGCGACCTGGCCACGAAGAGGGCTTTCTGTCGTCGGATGGCCGCCGCCCCCCCCAGGCCGCCTCATGGAGCTGAGCCTGCAGCAGATGGCGGACTTCCTGGGCTCGCAGGAGGGGGAGGCAGCCGTCGACGCGACGGGCCCGATCGCGCTGCGGTACCTCCTCACGATCTACCTGCCGCAGCATCCGGTGAAGGAGATCGGCGTGCAGACGCACCGCGAGCTCCGCACCCTCGCGGAGGCGGTGGACCTGCTGATGCAGGGGAAGGCGGCCCACGCCTGCGACCTGATCGTCCAGCGCCTGAAGGCGCTGCAGGTGGCAACGACGGATGGCTCGTGGGCGGCGGCGAAGTGGTTGGAGCTGACCCCGCCGCGCGACGAGCCCACGGCCATCCGCAGCGAGGAGGAGGAGCTCATCCGCAGCATCCAGCTCGGGGAGATGAAGCTGGACGAGCTCTCCGCACGGCTGGCCTCCGCCAAGACGCCGGGATAGGGCGGAGGCCCGACGGGGGCGCGCCCGCCGCTGGCGCCTCCGTCTGTTGGCCAGGCAGGGGGGGCACC